AACAGTGCATAAAAACCAACAACCTACTTGTCAGGACTTTGCCTCCGCATTAGCTCCTGGCCACTGGAAACTAACCCAGCAAACAGATTTCAGGATTTCAACTAAGGGACACCAGGGAGACACAGTATTTGTTATTTGGGTTATTCAAAGTGTGACTGTAACTCCTCCCTATGCACACAAGATGCAAATCCCAAGGCCTTTTTATCAGAAAACACTGCTAGACTTTGGCTACGTGAAATGTTGCTGAAACTAAATGTCTGTCCCTTGGGATGCAGGGGCTGCTATTACAGCCAAAAAAACCAGCCTGGAACACCAAATCAAAAACAAACGTTAGAGGAACTGGGTAACAACTGGAAGCTTTTCAAGCAACACTCTACACAAAACAAAAGCTGCAAAAAACTGGAGAGAAAGTTTGGATAGCTCCTGACATACAGCAGTGCAGAAGAACACAGCAAGAATCCACTTGGTTCTGCTAAGTAAGAGAATAAAGTTTTAGTATGGAAGAACTGAACCTACAGTTCTCTGAGAACTGAGAGCTGGATCAATATCAGATACACTTAAGAGAGATCAAAAAGGATTGGAGGCATTAAAAATTGACTAAAAGTGTCCAAGAAAGAGCATCCAGGGAGCTGAATGTGCAGGGTCAGCTTCAGTGCTCTGATCTAACAGGTCTGCACAGGGAAAAACAAAGATGCCACAAAATTACATGTCAGCTAGGTAGGGAAATGATGTTATTTCTCCCACAGACAAGGGCAAGGTTTAGACAGACAAGCACTACCCATCTTTCAACAGCAATTTGCAATATTGTTATCATCACCATTTGCCATCATTGCATCTCTCCAGGGGTTCCTCATGCTGCGGCTGAAATAACAGGGCAAAAGAGATGTGTGCACCTCAATCACGCTCAGAGAAACTCAAACATCTGTGGGAGGGAGAGCACAAACAGAAAATACCAAGCAGGAAAGCCTAAGGCATGGGTTGGGACTCTCTCCTGCCAGGAAACTTTGGGAAAGGACAGGGACAGAAAGCTAACACAGGTAATTTTTAAAGCTCCTTGATGAGCTTCTGGTCAGAGACAGCCTGGTGGAAATCCTCCAAACCACCTCCCTGATCTACCCAGTTTGTCAGCTCCCTCAAACGCTTTCCCTCTCACTCCTTTCTTTCCCTGACTTAAAAAAGAGACAAACTGAACAGAAAATGTAGCTTTAGAGCTGTTTTGGAATTAAAAGGTAATTCAACATCTCTATTATGCTGACCCTAGACAGAAGCCAGAAGTGTGGACACAATCACCAACACAGCAAATGGCCAAGCTTGTATATAATGTGCACAACATTTGTAAAACTGAAGCAAATATGTACCAGCCCTAAAGGCCAACCATTAACAGGCCAACCATTTTCTCTCTCAGTAATGCAGTTCAACAGCCTCATCTGGAGTACCAGGGGGACTTTCTGCAACTTACAGAACCACAGAATAACCTGAGCTGGAAGGGACCCATCAGGATTATCAAGCCCAACTCCTGGCCCTGCATAGGACATACGCAACAATCACAGCATGTACCTGAGATCATTGTCCAAATGCCTTCTGAACTCTGCCAGGCTTGGTGCTGTGATCACTTCCCTGGGGAGCCTGTTCCAGTGACCGACCACCTTCAGGATAAAGCTTTTCCCGATATCCAACCTCAACCTGCCCTGACACAGCTTCATGGACTTAATTACACCAGTCAGTGGTTTCTCTCTGTGTCAGAGCTCCCCTCGTTCAGCAACTAATAATGCCCAGAAGCATCACAGGGTAGGGCATGAACAACGAGAACAGAAAGTCATTACCAACTATTGATCCTTCTGAAAATTATAACCAAACTCCAAAGACCCACTTAAAGTAAGGAAACAACTTGTTCCTTCAAGTTAGTGCTAAAAATTAGGAAAAAGCCACTTCCCAGAATGATTCCAGCTGCAGTAATGAAAGTGAAATCAGCCGTTTCCTCTGCACACTGACATGACTTTTTGCCACCATCCTTGCGAAATCGCTTCCCAGATAAAACCTGTCAGCAATTTCCTACCAATCTGAACATCTGATTCACAGACTGAACTGCTTTTCCCAGGCAGGTATTAAAGGAAAAAAGTCATAAAATGTTTTTATCCCCAAGTGAAGTATCTGATGTATGTATTGACTGCAGACTCTGAAACAAGACAACTATGGGGGGAGTTTTAGACACATTTTGGAGAAGCCAAGTTTTCAACATTATTTCAGACAGGCTGGGAGAGGAAAACAGGGATCCCTTCAAAACTCACATTCTCTTAGCTTTTGGAATGCTACTTGCCATGCTGAAGCTCAGTTCAGCAAGATGGCTGCCAGCAGTTGTGACAAAAAAATGGCATCTAAAAAGTAATTGTGTTCCAGCTGCAAACTAACTTTTCCTGGCTCCTGCGTGGGTGAGAAAAACTTTGCTGAAGTAGAAATCCCTTTTTAAAAACACTGCTAACCTCATCCACCTGCCCAACGGGGATCTGGGAATGTTACTTCCAGTGCAGACACAGAACGTCTGGCGCACCTCGGTGGAACTGACCCCGCAGGGCCAAGCAGGTTTAAATTCCAGGAGTTGTTAAAAAAAAAAAGGAAAACATACTCGAAGAACACCAAAAGACACTAAAAGTGCCTCTAGAGAAGTCAAAAAGTCACTTTGAGTATTCTTGGGTTGGGAAAATTTATTTTCGGTTTCTATTTTACTCCGCTCAAAATGCACGTGGGCTGCGTGCAGAGACTGCTACTCATTCCTGAGGAGCATGGAAGACGATCCTCAGCCTGTAAGTGAGCAGAGCCAACAAGAGTGAGGCAAGACACCCGAGACGGAAACACCGCCGACCGCCTCGGCCATGCCCGGCACAATATGTCCGCCTCGGCTAGCGCCGAGTCACTCGCCAGCCGCGGCTCCAGGGCCGCTGCGAGCAGGAGGAGCCCCGGACGGGTGCGGAAACAAAGCGCTCCGCAGAGCAGGGCCCGCGGGGCGGGCGGCCTAGGCCCGGCGACGGCACGGCGAGAGGCCCGGCCCGGCCTCGCCCCCCGCCATGACTCGACACTTCCCGGCCAGGCCCGGCCGCGGCGGGGCGCAGGCGGGAAGCGGCTCATTCCCGTTCCGGCGCCGCCTCCGCCTGCCTGGAGCCCGCGGGCCGCCCGGGTGAAGCGGGCAGGCCGGACCGGGCCCAGGCCGCGGCGGGGCCTAGCCGCGGGGAGCGGCGGGGCCCGCACTTACTCGGATCCCGAGGCCATGGCGCTGCGGGGAGGGGAGAGGGGCGGCGGGCGGCGGCTCCTCGGGCGGGCGGGGGTCCGGAGGGTCGCGGGGGTCGCGAGCGGCGGGCGGAGGGCTCGGGGCGTCCGCGCTGCTTGAGCCTCAGCGCCGACTCATCGGCGAGGGGAGCCCCGCCCACACCGCCTCGCCTGCCTAGCAACAGCGTGCACCGGCCAATCGGAAATTCCGGCCGGCCGCCGTCTCGGCCAATCGGAGACGGCGAAAGAGAAAGAGACCGAGGGCTCCGCCTTAGCCGTGCCCCTCTGTGTGCTCTGGCCAATCGTCACCAGCCAGGCGCCACTTCCCTCAGCCAATCGCAGTGCGGCTCTCCCTCCGAGCGACAGCTCCGGACGGCCAATGGCGAAGAGCCACCGACGGGGCCATGCGGGAGGGAAGTCCCGTCTCCATAGCCGCCGCTGATTGGGCAGCTCCCGAGGGCAGGGCCAATCGGAGGGGGCGTGGTGCGCACGCGCGCCTCTCCCCGCCCCCAGAGCAGCTTCGTTGCAGCTGGCGGTCAGTGCGCAGCTGCGGGCCCGCCCTGCCGTGGGCGCCGGCGCTGCCCGGCCGGCCTCCCGCGCTCCGGGAGCCTGGGCTGCCACAGCTCCTCTGGCAGCCCCTGTGCACCTCAGCACCCTCACAGCGAAACATCTGCTCACTCCCTTGCGTGAGAGCAAGAACAGCTTGGGTTGGCAGGGATCTCAAAGATCCTTTTCACGCCCCTCCACACCCCGCACTGGAGCAGGCTGTTCGGAGCCCCATTCCACCTGACCACGAACACTTTCCAGGATGGGGCATCCACAGCTTCTCTGAGCAGCTCCCTCAGCCTTTCCTCACAGCAGAGGCGCTCCCTCCCTCTGATCATCTTGGTGGCCTGCTCTGGGCTGACTCCAGCAGGTCCCTGTCCCTCCCGTGCTGGGAGCCCAGAGCTGGATGCAGGGCTCCAGGTGGGTCTCAGCAGAGCAGAGCAGAGGGGCAGAATCCCCTCCCTCCCCTGCTGCCCACGGGGCTCTGGATGCAGCCCAGGATATTCCAAGGTGTTTTTCTGGAGGAATTGCAGGACAAAGCCCACCCAAAGCCCCTCTCTGTCCCTCCAGCATTCAGAGGCTGCAGCAGCTCCTACTTTGCACTCCTCCAGAGTTCTGTCATACCCGCTTTCCTCTCCCCTCACTCCTTGGAGCTCCTAAGCACCCATTCTCTCTTGTGGGAGGCGAGGCTTCCCAAAGGCTTGGGTAATGGGGTCGGGGATCTTCCTCATACAAAAAAAGCTCCACCAGAAAACTGGGCAGGGACATGTGCTCCTTCAGCACTGAGGGTGAGGGGCCTCGAGCTATGGCATTGGCACAGACCCTCAGGACCACAGGGGACACACAGGTGTGGGTCTGGACACTGCTACTATCTCTGGCCAGTGCAGCATTGTGAAATTCAGACCTCAGAGCCGCATACCTCAGACAAAACCACTTCTCTGGGCTCCAAGGCACAGTAACCAAGCAAAAAGCCAGTATGCAAAGCACAGAAAGGACAGACCAGCAGCTACCTGGAGCCCAAGTGCAGAGCCAGCCCCACCATGCACAGGGCACAGAGGATGAAGGTATCTCTGCCCTTGATCTCTCACACACCCAGGGCACACAGCCCATGGGCTCTCAGTAGCTGGAGGCAGTGTCAAGGCCATGACTGCAACATTTCACTCTGGAAAAAAGAGTATGGAAAAACCCAAAGCTAAACAGAGCTGGGGTTTTTTTTATTAGAAAAGGAGAACTATTCTGTTTCGGTCTTTTGGGAATCTAGCTTCATCATGGAGTAATTCTGAATCTTGAGGGAGTTATTGAAGGCCCTTGTGCCAGCCAGGTGCAGGGAGACCTCAGCAGGTGGGTATGGTGGGCATGACCAGGTCAGCTTGGGGTGTCCTGGGTTGCTGCCCCAAGGAAATCCTGTATGCTTCCGGCAAGAGATTCACTGTGAGGGAACACTGCTTGCTCCAGACATGAAACCAGGTACAAAGGGAGGGGTCTGAAAGAGAAGAGAACATGGTAGCAGTGAGGACTGCAGCATTCCTTTGCCATGCACTGAGACATTTGTTCTGCAGGTCTCCCTCCTCTTCCTGCAGCCTCTGCTCTCCCCATTTGGCTCCATGTCAGATCTTCTGTGCCCCAGGGAGTCCCAGCAGAGCCACAGCCTGTGGCCCCTTGGAGCAGTCATCAGGGAAAGCTCCTTGGACACCTAAACTGTCCTCACAGCCTGACAAACAGTTTGCACTGCTGAGATCTCACCCATCCCTCTACACACCTTCCCTGCCCTGGCTGCTGCCCATCGTCTCCAGGGGAGCTCTCAGAGAACTTCAGCCACTGGGCAGCTGCCTCCTGCTTTCGGTTCATCTTCCACAAGGTCTGCACCAGGTAGGAGGCAGCTGCTGGGTCACCTGCAAGGCAGGAAGAAGGATCAGCCCTTAGCAGAGGAGGAGCAGGTCCTCAGCACTGCTGTGCATTGCAGGGTATTACAAAAGAAGCTCAGAAGACAGACAAGGGCAACGACTGTAAGGAGAGGTGTAATGGGGAGGAGGCTGTCCTGGCTGTGTCACAGGCTCTAGTTAACCCCAGGGCTGGCAGCCAATGCAGATGGCATCAGCCCTGGGGCACAGCCTGCCACACCTTCTTTGGATACAGACTGGGGTTCTTCTTGCAGGCACGTCTGCACCCCCAGAGGGAACAGCCACAGGTAGGACTGGGACCAGCAGGGCTGACAGATCCTGGTGAAGCTCACACCTCTTCAGCATGTCAGAGCACTCAGCAAGAGAGAGCAGCCCTGTCAGCAGCACTAGCCATGCCTTGGCTGACCTCAAGACATGAATGCTCCCTTTGCAGGCCTCTGTGCTGCCAGGCATGGGCATGCTGCTTCCTCAGGTAAAGCACAGCTCCACTCCTCTGTTCTGGGAAAGCAGACCCATCTGGGAGAAAGTTGGCTGTACCAGGCTGAGGTTGAGGAAGGAAATTTCCAAACTATCTGAGGGCACAGGTTGTTGTCAGGGTTCTGATATACTCCTCTGACAATAGTTTTGGTCTGTTTCTCCACAGCAAAGAGCTGACCAGGCTCCACAGAAATATCTCTAGTATGTAACATTGCTAGTGGCCCTACTGTTGCCCCTGACACCTGAATAAATGTGGTATAAAGCATAAGAACTTCCTGCTGAAGACAGCAAAGCAGCCCAAGACAAATTGTGAAAATCCCTTGTGTCCCTCACCAAAATGAGCCTCTTACCTGGTGAGATCTGCAAACTGTGCTGGAAATCCAACAGGGCTTCTTTATTCCTCCCCAGCTCCAGGAACTGTGTACCTCGCCCAATGAGAGAGAGCAACCTGATCTTCTGGAGCACCTCCACTTCTGGCTGGAGATTCTCTGCCACAGGAACACACACACACACACACACACACACACACACACACACACACACACAAACACTTGAAGACAGCATCCTCCAGACACTCTCCCTTATTCCCAGCAGGCTGAGCCAGGTTAGCTGGCAGGACAGGCCAAGCATTTACTTGGGCTGCTCATCCTCCAGCTCTGGAGACAGATGGCAAAGCTCAACCTCTCTGCCAGGCCTGAAGAGCTTGGGAGGCAGCAGAAGGGGAGAGTGAAGAATGTCAAGAGCTCAGAGTGTTATATGGCTGTGGTGAACAGTGACCTCAGCAGTAGCCTGGCCTTTGGCTATCCCTCTGCACCACTGGCATATATATTTTCCCCAAAAACTGGATTGGAGAAGCTTTCCAGTTCACAGCCCCTTTAACTGCTACCTAGGCAGTGAAGGAGGCAGAGCCAAGGCCAAACTCTGCTCCAAAAGAACCAGCCACTCTCTTCAGTGGCTTTAGCATGGCCCAGAGCTTTGCACCCTGGGACAACTGCCTCTTGCCAAAGTGATGCTGGGCCCGCCACCTTGGCCCTGTACCTGTTGCTGCCAAGCACACAGATCCTGACCCAGCTGAGGCTGCACACAGATCTCACTTATGTGGTGTCCTACCTGTCTGTTTGACTCCAGACCCATGAAGCTGGACACGCAGGAGATCACTGAGGCACCTGTGTGTGGGAGGCCAGAGGAGCTTTGGAGCCACTCCTGGGCTGTCAGGAGTGCCAGGTTATCAGGGCAGCCCCAGCGCCGTGCTGTGTCCTGCCCTGGCCCCACCATCCATTTCCCCTTCTCCCGGCAAGGCTCTATCACCTGCTGAACTGTGTTACAGCTTCCTTGCTCTCGCCCAGCTTGGCCCATGCCCAGCCCTGCTGCAGGTATCCAGCTGCTCTCCAGGCAAGGCAGCACATGCTCTCCTTCTTCTTAGACAGGAATCCACCCACCAGTTCTGCCCCTGGCAATGAGGACTCTGTCTGCTCCAGCCTCTCCTCCACTCGTAACACCCGTGGAATGAGGTCAGTTGTCCGGCTGATGACCTCCTCACACACAGTTATGGCATCTTGGTGCCTCCCAGCCTGCTCCAAGGCAGATGCTGCTTCCAGGAACACCTCTGGGATCCTGGGCAGAGCTGAGCTACCATCCATGGGAACCTGGGGAGCAAAAGTGACATCAGTGCTGCAGAACTGCAGAGCTCTCTGTCAAGCAGCATGACTCTGTGCATACTGGGAATGTGCAGCTGCTGCCCAGCAAAGCTCAAGCCCTCTCTCACAGTCATTGGAGCCTGGTGGAGCAGGCAGAAGATGGGAAGGACTCACAGCTCAGCGGAGTCAAGGCTTCAAGTCCCTGCTCTGGAAGTGAAAGACACTCAAAATCAGGTTGACAGCTGCTCTCACAGGGAAGGGGAAGCTGTCTCTCCAAACAGCAGGGGTGAGTGCTCTCTGGTGTGACTCCAAAGGCAGACATGCCACAGATTGAGGGTGCCAGCCCCCACTTCATTTCCTTTACATCGGACCCCACCTCATTTCCTTCACATCTCAAACTAGACACTGAAGCCTGCAGTCCAGAGCTGATACCTGGGCCCAGCCCTTAGGAGTGGGTTTGGATCCCTCCAACCCTCATCCTCCAAGTCACCAAGGGAGCTCTTTACCAGCTCTTTACCCACCTGCTGCTGCAAACCCTCCTGAAGGAGAGACAGAAAATCCAGGTAATGTTCCACTGCATCAGCCACCCTGCAACAGGAACAGGACATGTGGTGGAAGGAGAAGTGAAACCTGGATTGCCAGCCCCCAGCCTCTCCCCCTGTTCACAATCTCCATGCTTTGAGCAGACCTATGACAGCAGTACTGAACTGGACCATTTCCAGAAGCACAAGTAAAACTGCAGAGCCCAAACAAGCAGTGTGTTGCAAGCAGACCAGAGGCACTGCTACCTCCCATCCTGGAGACACCGCTGTGCCAGAAGATACTTCACTTCAGAGGGGTAGTGATGGCGAAGGAGGGAAGTGAGTACTGGTGCGTGGACAAGCAGCTCTGTTCGCATGAGGAAATAGGGACTAGAGGAAGCAGCTGCTGGAGGGTTTTTTCCCAGAGCCTGTGAAACAGGAACAGAAAATATGTTTTCTACATCTACACTACACTGGTCAAGTCTCAGGCAGCTGCAATCTTTTGTGACTTCTGACATCTGGAGATGCACCCAGGCAAGCAGAAGTGCTGCACTTCACAAGCACAACTACATTGTTCTCACAGTTGTTTCCATCAAGAGCCATCACACAAGGGCAGGTAGAATTTTCATCTCCACATGGCACCAGGATATTTGCAAGATCACCCAGATCACCTCAGGTTTTTAGTTCAAGGTACTTTGAGCTGCTTGGAACATCATCTCCCATTGCAGCCACAACCTAGTAAGACCATTTGTAAGGAGAGTGTTCCCTCTCCTCTCTGTATGTATCTGACAGTTTTCAAACAGCTAAAGAGATAATTCAGGGTCTACCGCTGTAACCTACTTTTCCAGGCAGGCTCACACAGGTAATGCACACTGCCCCACTGCAGCCAAGATCTGCCTTTAAAGGCCTCTTTACTATTACATACTTTACTAAGAGCTTGATGCTTTCTGACCTAAGAGTATAACTTCCCAAGCCACCATGAACATGAACTAGGACCCGAGGTCTTGCCACATCCAAGCATGGTTCTGAGCAGGAATTTCAGATCTCGCTGGACTCCTTCCTGCCCACTTGCTGAAGGCAGCATCATGCTATTTTGGGGACTCCCTCCAGGGTCAAGCAGCCTCCCAGAAGAAATAAGACTGCTTTTAAAGCTCCATGCAGGCTCTGCTGGGAAAAACTCATTCTTGAACTACAGGAACCAGACAAACCTCGTAGAGTAGGGTCAGGGCCTGCAGCTCCGCATCGGTGTCTCCCAGTTTATGGTACACTGTTGCCATGTGGGACAGGGCAGGAAGGCACTGGAAATCAGCCTGGAGGGCCCGTTTCAGATGCTGAAGGGCTGTCTGAGGCTTGCCCTAGGTGGATGGGAAGACATGCATATTGAAAGCACATCCTGCTGATGTTTTTACTGTTTGGTAGAATCCAGATTCTCGCTCTGCTTCCCCAAGAGATCTCCACTAAGCAGGGCAGCAATTTAGCCAAAGGCAGCCCTCCTCAAGTTGGTTTCTGAGCTTTTCTCTCTGCAGCAACACTTTGCAATCAGCCAAAATCTTGGCATGGATTTTGTGGCCTGTCCAAGGAGGCTGGGGTCACAAGGGCAATTTCTGCTCAATGCCTTCCCTCCCTGAGAGGCCTCGGTCCACACAGAGGCATTGTGAGCCTGAGACTTCCCACCTCACAGCTGCCTTTCCCCTCTTTGCTGTATTTACCATTCGCTGAGCACAGCAGCCAAGGCAGGTGTAGATCTGGGCCAGGATATTCTTGGAGCAGAATCCTCCTGCAGCTTCCTGAAGGAGGGAAAGAGCAGCAGGGAGGTTCCCAGCCTCCAGCTCCTGCAGCCCTAGGAAAGACACAGCATATTGGTTCTGTAGCTCACTTTTGTGTCCCACCAAGTCCCAAACAAGTGGTGGTGCCATTTTCTTCCCAGTGCCACAGGGACTTGCCTGATCCCCTCCAAACCCAGCGATGCACAGCAGGATAGTGCCAAGCTGCCATCTTTGCTCTAGTGTTTTGCAAGAGAACAAGCCACTCAATGGAAATGTCCAGCAGAAATAAAGAAATAAAGGAAGCCCAACATGCTTCCTTTGGCCCAGAACAAGGACAGGGATATGTGCTGGGCAAGTTCGCCTTCACATTCATCCACAATAACAGCACTGCAGATAGGGAAGCACACACAGAACTTCAGAATTTTTTCAGCACATCTAAGTCATTTCCCAGCAGGATACTTTAGGATATCAATAAATTAATATTTATCACAACTCGTTATTTGATTTTCCTTCAGTCTTCTTTTCAGGCTTCCCTCTGAGGCTGTTCTCACATAGCAGCACCACACTCACATCTGCCACCTCCCTGCTGGAAGCGCTGGTGCCACCCTCGACTATTCTGGCCTCAGATCTGTGGGCCAGAGCTCCTGCCCTGTCTTCTGGCAGGAAGGCCCTGTAGGAGCCCAAGCACAGTGAGGCAGTGCTGGCTGTCCCTGGAGCTGCTGGGGTTGTCAAAACAGTAAAGGAGAGAAAGCAGGCAGGATGGAACACAGCAGCCAGAGAAGATCCATTGCCTCCTGTGACACCAGGCTACAAAGCCTCACAACAGCTTTGTGTGGCTCTTGCAGCACCCTAGTCTGATGGGAACAACATGCTTGGAACAAGGCAAATTCCAGAAGACAGACAGAAGAAAGGAAAATGTTCATAAAAACCCTGCCAGCCTTCTGCTTTAAGGTCACTGTAGGGCCCAGACACCTCCCTTAGAGTAACAGGCAGGTAGAGGAACCCTGTGATAGTGCAGTGAAATGATGAGCTGGGGAAAAGCAGGGAAGCTTTTTGAATATGGAACATAAAGGTTGAGACTCAGAGGCTCAGCCAGACTTTATTCCAAAGGAATAGCCCAAAAAAACCCAAGGGTCAGTTTGCTTGGGAAGAAAAACCAGGATAAGGACAGGGAAAGTGGTCCTGGGACAGAGCAGCAGGAGACTGTGCTGGCATGAGTACCTGCCCCCCACAAACCTTGCAGGAAGGCTGCTGCAGTGCAGAGGATTTCCTTCAAGTCCTTGGCGCTTTGTACAAGGGGCAGGGAGGCTTCCTCAGGAGGGACCTGCCATGCCTTGATCATGGAGAGGAGTTCGTTCTGCCCCTCACTGCAGTGAGCTCTTCCCAGGTCCTGTGAAGGCACAGAGGAGAGAGAGCAGGGAAGGCTGAAGGGAAGCAGGAAACACTGGTCCAAGTGCACAGAGAAACAGGTCCCACCAAACCACTCAACACTGCTCCCTGCAGAGGGGGTAGACTGGGGAGCAATGTTCTACCATCTGTTCCCTTCAACTACAACCCACTTACTGCAGTAATTCCTGCCTGGCCTGGAGCAGCACCTCCCCACCTCAGAGTGGGGTGCACCTCCAGGGCCTCCTGGCATGCAACAGATGGCTGTTGGAGTTCAGAAAGATGGGACCCATCAACAGCATTTTGATCAGCAGGGAAGGTTCTGCATCGCACTGCTGTTCCCTACAGAGTCTCCAAGTCCATCTTCAGGCCTCTTCCAGCCTGCTCAAGTCTCCTATCTGACACACAGAGGTCCAGGGCCCACACAGGCAGAATATTCTGGGATCTATTAACACTCTCAGGGCCATTAGGCTTTGCTGGGATGCCATGGGGAGGATTAGTCATGCTGACTGGGCAGCACTGATGGGTTTAGCTGTCCAAGTGCCACAACATTTTTCAGAGTGAGCTTTATGACAAACACGGTATTTATGCCAGCTCTGACGGCATCTGCCTGTACCCAGTTACCTTAGCAGTGCTCAGGAGCTGGAAGAGGCCAGCAACACTTCCCAGCTGGCTGGCTGCCAGCCACCAGGCTGCTTGCAGGGCCCCAAGGCGGTGCAGAGGTGCCTGCAGCTCCTCCATGGTTACCTCCTGCAGCACCTTTTCCCACAGCTCTTCCGTGCCAAGATCCTCTCCGCAGGCCCCACAAGCCTCCAGAACTGGAAAAAAAACCCCAAGCAAAAAGATCTCGAGCTGTGAGACAATGTGTTGGTGTCCTGTAACAGACATCCCAGATGCAAGATGCAGAGAAAGCCTCAAACAAGCACAGGCTTCTCATAGTGATGGAAGGAACAGGGTTGCAGGGCTGGCCTGGCCTCAGCAGAATGGAAAACAAGCTCTAAGAGAGAGAAGCTGACAGGAGCACACTCAAGAGACAACACACAGCACAGCTCAGAGATAGACTCCAGCTCTGCTGTGTCCTCTTGAAGTCATTTGCCCACAGGTAAGCATGTGCCAACACTGGAGATCCACCTCTGAGCTGCAGCCTGTTTCAATGAGTTTTCTTTGAAGACAGCACACCATAATTAAAGAAAACACTAATTTTCTTCTGTCACTAAAACTTTGCTAGAGACTTGGCACCTTATACAGTAAAAACTCTTGTTTCCCTTGAAACTCCCAGCCCATCCCTGCAGGCAGCAGCAGGCAGCTGCACATTGTCCCTGGCCACATGCCACTCTACCTCCAGCCCTTACAGGCAGAGCCTGGGTGTCTGCCTATAGTTCCTCCCATCTTCAGTCTTTCCAAGCACAGTCAGGTGTGCCTGCCCACAGTTTCCCCCGTCTCTGGCCTTCCCTGGCAGAGCTAGGAGTGTCTGCTCACAGTTCCCCCACCTCCAGCCAGTCACCAAGTATCTCCAGAGCACAGAGGACGCTCTCCTCACCCCGAGAACTCCCCAAACAGACAACCATGTCCTTACCCCTGAAGAGCCCCTGGCGTATTCCTTCCGCTTCTCCTTTGACGACAGAGTCAGATGCTCCCACAGTGAAAAGCAGGGAGTTGTAGAGAGCAGTGAGTTCCAGCGGCAGGGCAGGGAGGGCAGCTGGCAGCCCTGTGGGCACAGCCAACACAACAAGAAATTTAGATGGCTAAGAATAAACAGCTGTCCATGCTCAGGTGGCAACACCTGGCTTGGCGACAAAAGAATTGGCTTGGCAAGAAGTTTTTAGTTATTGTGGTGTGATTTAGCCACCTGGGAAATGCAGTGCCAGACAGACAGCATGTGTCAGCACTCCAGGTGCCAACACTGCTTTAGACATTCATTCCCCAGCTACTAAAGTGCTGCAGTCCTCCAGGACTTTCAGCTCTCCCAAAAGAGCATCAACAGCATACTCTGTTCCAGTACACATCCACCCTTTCACACACTGTCTCTCTCCTTATCACGGGATCACAGAATGTTTGGAGCTGGAAGGGACGAGAGTGGCTCATCTGGTCCAATCTCCCTGCAGGGCCATTTTAGAGCATGTGGTACAGGATTGCATCCAAATGATTTTTGAGTATCTGCAGCGAGGGAGACTCCACAACCTCTCAGGGGAATTTGTTCCTATGTGCAGTCACCAGGGTAAAGTTATTCTTCATGTTCAGGTGGAACTTCCTGTGCATGATTTTCTGCCCATTGCCTTGTGCCTACTGCTCGGCACCACTGAGCAGAGCCTGGTCCATCCCCTGACCCCTCCCTGCAGACATGGACAGACATTGATGAGGTCCCCCCTCAGTCACCTCTGCTCCAGACTGAACAGGTCCAGACTGCTGAGGCTTTCCTTGTAAGAAAGACATTCCAATCTCCTAGTTATCCTCATTTCCCTCTGCTGGACCCTCTCCAGGAGCTCTATGTCTCTCCTGCACTGAGGAAACTGGAAATAAAGCTGCCTCATGCTGGGCTTTCTCTGCATCATGCCTGTGTCAGAGAGCTTCTTCCCTGACTTCCCACAGAAAAGGCTGCCTCTCTTTTTTTTTTTTTTTTTTTTTTTTTTTTTACAGAATCTCCATGTTCTGCCTTTTAAGGCAGAGTTAAGGCAGAGTCTGAGGCTGGACAGTAACCCTTTTGCTGGCCCAGATCAGCACAGGGCAACAGGGATCATTTCACCCTGGCTTGTTTCCAGCACTGGGATACTGGAGCTGAAGCCGGAGGAGCAATATTCATAAACTAAAACACAAGAAGCTCCGCCTCAATTTGAGGAAGAACTTCTTTATGCTGAAGGTGGCAGAGCACTGGCACAGCTGTGCAGGGAGGTTGCCGAATTTCCCTCTCTGGAGACATTCCAACCCCACCTGGATGTGTTCCTGTCACTGCTCCAGGTGACCCTGTCTTGGTAGGGAGATTGGACTGGGTGATCTGATTTCAGAGATTACTTTCAACCCTGATGATTCTGTGATTAACTCCTTTGCAGGCCCCATTCAGCACTGGGCAGCGGGAACCCTTTCACCCCGCCGCCTTCACGCGTTTGTTTCCAGCACCGGGATACCGGAGCTGCCTCCCGGTGAACAGAGATGTCAGGGAGCCCGTGCTTCCACGTCCACACGCTTCAGGCCCGGGACAGCAATGGGAGGTGGAGGCGGGGCACGACGGCCGCCACTCACCGCGGATGCTCAGGAGCAGCTCTCGGAACTCGTCTCGCAGCTGCCGCCGCGCCTCTCCGCCGCACCGCGCCGTCTGCAAGGGACGTGCTCAGCGCCGGCCGCTCAGCGGAGCGGCACCGGCGGCAGCCCCGCGGCTCGCGGAAGGGAGAGGGGAAGGAAGAGGACGTGCCGCACCGTGCATCGCTCGACCAGCGCCCGGCTGTGGGCGGCCCAGGCCCTCAGGCAGCCCCGCTCCGGCTCCGGCTCCGTCCCGCGCCGCCGCTTCATGGCCGCCGCCATCGCCCGCCGCCGCTTCCCGCCCGCGCCGCCCATCGGCGGGAACGGCCGGCACCAAGGCAACGGGAAGCGCGGGGCCGAGGGGGCGCGCGCCGGGAAGCGGGAGGCCGCGGAGGGACAAACGTCGTCGCAAGGCGAAGGCAGCGGTCGGGATCAGCCCGGGTCGGAAGGGACCCGTCAGTCACCGAGCCCAGCCGCGCCATCCCCCGGCAGGGCCCGTGCGGAGGGGGACCCACACCCCACACCACCCGCGCTGTCCAAACGCTTCCCGAACTCTGCCAGCCTTGCAGGTGGAACCCCTCAGGAGCCTGTTCCAGTGCCCAGTCACTCTCTTGGAGAAGTCTTTTCCTAAACTCCGAGAGTCTTGGACCCCAGTTCAACCTAAACGTCCCGACACAGGTTCAGGCCGTTCCCTCAGGTCCTGTTGTTGCTTTCTGCAGAGAAGAGATCAGTGCCTAACCCTCCATTTCCCCTCAGGAGGAAATTGTAGATTAATGTCTCCATGCAGGAGACCCCAGACGGGTCAGGGAGAAGGATGGAAGAATTGAGACGACACAGCTCTCCTTAGCTCTCACCATTTTATTTGCAGACATAATTTTCACAGCTGCCCAGAGCCCCGTGCCACCCTCGGACAGCAAATCACGCACGCCCCCCTCCACTCCCGATTAATTAATTATGCAATTTAGCAACGGAGCGACCCCTTCCTGGCTGCCTGATGGGGTTGGTCGTGCCACACCCAGGGTGCCAGGTGAAGGAGCACAGCCAACTTGCCTGTTTTAGAGGGTTTTTTGAAAAGAAAAAGGCTCTGCTTCCCAGCAGAGACTTGAGCATGGCTTCCACCTTCCAGGTGTAGCTGCTTGATGTGAATGAAAGCATTGACAGCCAGATATGTAGATACCCAGGAAAGTGTAGCACCACGCTGCATGCAGAGCTCCCAGGTTGCTTTCCACAACTGGGTCCATCCCCTTTTTTTTTCCCCAAATGAGGGGCTGAGGTACAAAGAGGTTAATAAAAAATAAAACAACAATCTTGCTCCAAGCCACGTGGTGCACTGAGTCAGGGTTCAGAGGAGAGCCAGGATCCCCAGCCCTGCTCCCCACACACTGGCACTGCTGCTTCCTGAAGGGAAGGGGGACATGCACACCAAGACTAGGACTGTGCCTTGGTAGAAAAAAGCAGCCTGAAGAGTTGAGAGAAAACCAGAGAGAGATGGGATAGAGGAACGGCCGTGGGAATAGAGCTAGAACGAGCCCTGGGCTGTGGGCTCCCCAAAACAGTGCCATCCCTTGGGATCTGTGTTAGCCCCATAGACCAGAGGTGCAGGTGCTCCCAACATTCACAACTCTTCACAGTGGCTGCAGCTTTTGGTCACTATTTTCTAGGCAGCAAAAAAGAGACACAATTGAATTTTTGCTCTGTGCCAGGACTATGGGACACACCATGGGCCTGAGCCAGGGAAGTTTCCCAATGACTCTCCTCTGCCAAGAAACACACGCACAACACTTGCAAAGCCCAAAGTGCAGAAAGATTGTGGAGTGCAGGATGAAAACTGCTCAGCTGAGCACTCTGTCCCCTGTCATACTCAGCCCAGGAACACAAGGACCAGAAATAAACTACCTGGAATAACTCATCTAGGGGAGCCGAGTGGGGCCCTAAAACAACCTCTTTGGAGGGATGTGGGGTAAAACCCACTCCCCAGCACACCAGATTTCCCAAAGAGCCTTGGTTTGGACTAGAAGACAACCCACTCCTGTGGTTTGAAATCAGCAAACACAGCCCTGTCTGCTCTAGCATCAGCAGCATGATCTGCTTCTAAGGCCAGGCCCTAGACTGGCACTAACTCTGTCATCCCCAGCACGCTCAGAATGGCAGCCAAACAATCAGCTTCAGAGCAGCTGAGGAAGGCTGACAAAGACTGAAACAGTCAATGAAAAGAAGCTAGAGCATCTCTAGCCCTTGGGAAACTCATCTTTGTGAATCACAAATCTTTGGTGTAGCAGCCAGTCTGCTGTGTCCGAGCAGCCAGCATTCCATGGTGTCTCTGCAGTGACAAGGATGTAGTCGCAGCCCTTCTACTGCAAGCTTTGTTTAGTCTCTGGTGAGATAAGTGTGTCCTTTGATGATGCTACAGCTCTGCTGTTCCCTCTGCTCTCCCAGCCTCCTGGGACCATGAGCCTACACATGGCAGAGGCGTGGTATGCAGGGGTGAGGAGAGGATTCCCAAGCCCCATGTGAGTGCTCCAACCATTAACAGTGAGCATGGGAAGGCTCAGCTGCTCTGGAGTGACCAGTGAGAAGAGAAACAAGTCCCAGAGATGGAAGCCAAGGGGCCTGGGTGGCAGCTGTGGGGACATCAGTGGCCAGTCCTACACTATCAGTGGCCACAGGGACTTCTGCCAGCACAAACACAGGCAGGCAGAAAGCTCCTGACCAGGTTATGAAGTTACAAAACCAATTTAAGCTCCAGCCTTGAGGTTTAGCAATGTGTTATCCAGATTAACCTCACATTAAATGAAAATTTACTAGGTAGTTGCTACCTCCATCCCCTTCCTTCTCCCCATATCGACGCACCCCCCATTCCTTCAGAAGCATATGACCACCAGGCAGTCAGCTTTCAGCAAATAACCTATTTTTAAGGGTGTGACTACCTAAGCCCATTGTGACTACCTAAGCCCATTGTGACTACCTAAGCCCATTTTAATTGTGGGCTGATGCATTCCTGTAGCTTTCAGCTTCCCTCACTGTTTGCCACTACCCCTTCCTTGTGCTAGCACTGCTGTCATGCATCCAAGCAGTGAGGCAGGCCAGGGTGTGATGCCACTTACAAACCAGTCCCTGGTTGTGACAGGTGAAATTGAGCAGGACCACAGAGCAGAGGACATGAGAGGCTGAGGTAGCAGAGCACAGGCAGCAGATCAGGAGCAGGCCAGGCAATGGAAATCTCATATATGAACAGTTTAACCCTTCCTGGAATTGCATCTGAACAACTGAGCAGGCATTTTGCAGGGGTAAAATACAAAATTCCACCTGCCCTCAAGAGCCACAGCAACTGGGCACTTGGGAAAAATGTCAAGAAATTAAATAATGAGAGAGATTCTCCCTGGAACTCTGCAGGGCAGAGAAGAAGAGCCTGGAGTTATGCTAACAGTCTGCAGTAAGGAATTCAAACAGGGGCTAATCATGGTGCACGAGTTAAAAATTAATGGGATCAGGCAAATATCATTGCAGAAATCCCAGGCAAGCAGTCCTTGTCTCTTTCTAGAGAGGAAAGAGACAAAAGGTTTCATAGCACCAAGTAATGCCACACAGTGGTTCAGGGCAGTAAGGAATCCCAGCTCCAATGGAAACTGCAGGAGGAATTGAGCTGGGATATGGCCAGGCACCATGGTCACCACCCTCTACCTGTGCCCATAAAGAAAGGAATACCATGCCTCCTGACTGGGAGCAGTCAAGGGCATGTTTGGCATTGCTTACTTGTGACATGAAGTCTCACAGAGAATGCCAAGGCCAAGAGGGAGACAAGCCCCAAACATGGGATCATGGATGCGCTTGACTGCATTGGTCCATATTACCCAGCATACACTCAGACACCAGTAAGCTGAACCACTTCCCAAAAGAATTGGTGCCTGCTCCAGGCTTTCAAGTAGCTGTTCTCAAGCTCTGGAGCTCACACCAAGGCTACTCATGCAGCTGGCACAGCTATTCCAGGTTCCCCTTTCCTGATGGCCAGGTCCAGCATGGGTGTCAGTCCATATTCTGTCACTACATCCTGCTGCATCTAAACTGTTAACAGTCAACAGCCAGCATCCAGCAGCACACACCCAGGAAGAGATCATGAGCCTTGGCTGCTACCAGCCAGCCCACAGGGACCCAGAGAGGTTGAGAATAGAAGTGGAGAATTTCTTGGTCATGCACACAGTTGGCCCTGCTACCATTGGCCGAAGCTAAGCCTGCTGTACAAGGCAGCCCACAGTGCTCCCCACTGCACTTCACTGAGTGAAACCAGGAAAGTGAGACTGAGTGTAGGGCAAGAGAGGCCTTACCACAGAGCAAATGACTGACTTTACAGAGAAGTAGCTGCCACTGAGGCTCCAGGAGCCATCTGCATGGAAACGTGCAGTGTGATTCCAGTGTAAAAACCAAGCATGTGAAAAAGTGGTGGCTGTGGGACATTCCCTCCCCTTCCAACCTCCTCTCCCCTCCTCAGCCGGCCCCATCCCACGAGTCTTTGCACAGTCACAGTGACATCTTGCTGGCCACTGAAGCCTACCAGCTGGACATTGTGGCAGGTGTCAGGAAAGTACCAGCAAGACCCCTGCTGGTGTTTCTCCAGAGGAGCACTTCAGGACTCTTGCTTCTTGGGCTCCTGCAGCAGAGTCCTGCTGCCAGAAAAGGCCCAGCGAGAGTTCTGATCTCCCCTGCTGAGAAACACCATCCCTGTAAGTCAGGAACAGTTGGCTCCAGTCGTTTTTGTTTAGCACAGCAGCAGGGAGCTGGGCAGATCCCCGACTGCTGTCGGCAGGCACTCGTTTGCTGGCGGCTCGTGTATCCCTCCCAGCTGGTAGCAGGCCAGGAGACAGCCACAGCCTGGGCCGACGAGCAGGTCAGGCTCCTCACATCTCCAACGCTACCTCAGCCGAAGCTGGCTGAACCAGGTGCTGACAGCACAGTCCACACGCATCACCAGCGAGATCCCCAGCAAGAGGCAGATGCTGCTCACCACAAAGCCCAGCGACTCAAAGAGGAACCTGCAGGCACAAGAGATGCAGTTAAGGATACAACAGCCAGCATGACTACAGAGACAGGTTGCTACCCTCCAGCTGACTGGTTTTCCTGACAATGAGGCTTGTAGCATCCCACATCCTAAAACCTGAATTACATTCATTCCCCACCAGTTGCTGCCTGAAACCTGTAAGCCAAGCACTCGTCTGATTTAGAGGCCACTCAGGACCCATTGACTCAGGGGGGATTGTGAATCCCTCAGAGGCTGAGGCCACCCTTCACACCGACTAATTCAAAAGCTTGCTGGTTCAGCATTCCTGGGTTTATCA